GACTTCTGAGGGATGGATAATTCACATCTGCTTCCCGGTAAGGCAGATATGTTCAGGAAACATCCGGCTCCGACCATGTTGAACATTTAAGGCTAGAGTAGCTTCTAAATTTATTGTGTTGGTGAGGAACTGCAGCATAGAGAGAGGCTCAGATCGGAGAATGTAAGGCTCAGTGGTGGACCATTCCTGCTTTATATAAGGAGTCGTAGTGACCTTCGTCACTTCGTAACTTCGCTTAAAGGTGCGAAGGTTCGTGACTTTGATGGAAAGTTGGGAAAGTTCGTCACATTGGCGAGTTTCCAGGGAAGTTCGTGAGACACAAATCAAACGCATCAACCCGGCCATCATTTTTCTTCAACTCAAGTCTCTCCGTATTCTTTTCATATAGATACCTTGCTAACCCTAACCGCTAACCTCTAACCCGAACCATTAACCCTAACCACTAACCACTAACCGCTAACCCTAACCCAAACCCAAACCGCTAACCTCTAACCACTAACCCGCTAACCCGAACCTAACCGGCCACTCTCGGCAAGTTGATGGTACGCATCACTCCGTGATGTGCCGAGAAGCGCCGCTTGACAAGTAACTCACGAACTTTCACAGAAGCTCGTCAAAATCACGAACTTTCCCGGATTTCCATCAAAGTTACTAAGTTTCCCGAAACTAAGCGAAGTTACGAAGTGACGAAAATGGCGTGGACTCTTATAGAAGTGTTCCATGAATGGCAGCCAGCAACAGGAGCCTGTTCGAATCAGGCCCGAGCAATGGCATTGCATCTGTGGGACACGCTTTCTCCCGGTCGTCGGAAGCGTCTCCGGAGGATGCTGGAGTCTTGAGTTTTCCGGTAGATGCTCCAACAGGTACTTACATATCGATGTTCGCCGTGAGAGTGACGGCTTAACTGCATGCTCCTCAGCGTCCATCTCGAACTGAGAGGAGCTAATAGTTTTGGCTGCCATACGATATTGTTCAGCCTTGCACCAAGGTTCGACGAAGCACACGACCTCGGATTCCGCCGCCGCAAACTGCCGGCATGCCTCGTGTTACTTCACGGAGCGGGCAGTGCCGCCAGTTGATCAGTGATCCGTTGATTTGAACTACAACCAACCGTAAGAGACCGTAAGCACATTCTTCAACTTCCCGGGTCGGTTCCGGTGATGGCGTGACGTGACTGGGTGAGTAATGACCTTGGTGAGCGTAATAACCTTGGTGAGCTGAAAGTGCCGAATCTATGAGGTTTGGCGACGTGGTGACTTGTCACAGTGGAAGAAATTGCTCATATTCCGGTGTATTCGGACGATATTCCGGTGTTCGGAAACGACCTTGGTAAGCTGGAAGAAGCGCGCAAGAAACCAACATATGGCATAAGCTGGGACTTTAAATAGCCGCGGCGAGCTGGGCACTTATTCTTCAGCTACCATGTCCACAGCCATTCCACCCAGCACCACTGCCTCCCTCAACTTCTATGTCTCGCCCAAGGATGGGGTTCGGGCATACCAGAATATCACCTCGGTGACTGGAGTGCCGGACAAAAACTTTACCATGGAGGCTCACGACGTCGAGATCCAAAATCTTCGAGGGAATGAATCTGCTGCGACGCTGAACACGACCGGGTTCCAGATTTATAAACACCCTGCGAAGCACACCGCTTTCATGAGTGACGCCGCGATCGAAAAGGAGTATTATCCCGAGAGCATTGAGCTCATAAAGCGCTTGACGGGGGCGAGTCGGGTCGTTTTATTTGATCACAGTTCGTCGTGGACTCGTATCGTCTGTTCTTCCTGTTGACTGGAGTCCCTAGCCGTTCGACGCCGCCGCCCAGGCGTTGAAAGTGGCCCGGGCAAACGTCAGCCGGCTGCAATGACCCACGTTGACCAGACGAAAGCGTCCGCTGTTGCCCGAGTTCATCGCCACCTCCCTGCCGAGGAGGTTCCCGAGCTTCTGAAGCATCGCTTTCAAATCATCAACTTGTGGCGCCCGATTTCCCACCCGGCGGACGACTGGCCACTGGCGTTGTGCGACTTCAGGACCGTCGACCCAGTAAACGACATCCTACCCGTTGCACTGATCCTTCCGGATCTCGAAGGCGAGTTGGGTGGTGTGAAATACAACCCAAACCAGAAATGGACCTATTTCTCAGGAGTCGCGCCGGACGAGCTGATTCTGATCAAATGGTTGGTTGTTCTCTCAACAACATTCCGGGTGTTCAACTAATTCATTTATCCCAGCTCTGACTCCCTCCAGGATGGGAGTGTCGCGCTCTATACTCCCCACACCGCGTTCGAAGATCCGGCCACGCCGGAAGGAACCCCGCCCCGCGAGTCCATTGAGCTTCGCGCGCTGGTATTCTACGATTAGAACAAAGATGTCCGGTCATTCCAAGTAGAGTATACTTGCGTACCGATTTTCCCTACTTCGTTGAAAGAATATTGAGCACAGTATCCCCTACTGGCGGTGAACTATCTGTCTTTTGAAAATTTCCCTCCATGGAACACGTTGGCGGCAGCAGAGTGAATGAAAGCAAGACCAAGCAAGAAATCTTGTGCGCTCTCATTTTGAGTTGCAGAGGGCGATTTCCACCGCCATACATGTTTTGAATGGAATGAAGTTCAACCACAGGTTCAACATCCACTTGACTTCGGATTCCCCCGCCGGAAACTGCCGGCTGTTTGAAATTTCCGGCTCTGCTAACCGATCGCGAGAAGGCTCGCGCCGCATGTAGAGGGATGTCTCTTCAACCTGCACCGGTGCACCGATAAGTATCGAAGAAGACCTGTTACATCCAGGCCAAACTCGGAACGGTCGTCCTGGCTCGGAACCGGTGTTAGTCGACTTTACGTGCAAAGCCGAGTCCGATTTGCTTTCTTCGCACTTGTATTTCTGGCTTTCTGCGAACATTGGAGAGAGTTCAGGCAGGAGGAGCCTTTTCGAATCAGGCCCGAGCCATGCGGTCTCACGTTGAACTTTTCTCTATCTCTGTCATTGAAGCCTCGAACATAGATAGGGGGGGACGGAAGGCTCGGTGGTAGATGGTCCACAACTGTGTACCGTCTGTCGAAAATAGATGTTACATCCAGGAGAAGGCTGTTCAAATCAGGCCTGGGCCATTGAGTGGATTTCACTGCTTGAAATCCTGAAAGAAAAGTGTGATGTAAATTGAGATGGAGTTACGAAAAAGGACAGGCTCAGTGGTGGGTGGTCCATCCTTGCTTTCTGTGCGTTGTTCCAGTACAACGTTCAAGCAGGAGGAGTCTGTTCGAATCAGGCCTGAGCCATGCGGTGTCCTTTTTTCCTCCCCTCGAGAAATGTGTGCTGCGTAAATTTAGGCTGAGAACAGAGTAAGAAAGGCGTGATGGTGGATTAATATTGTCCACACCTGCCATGAATTGATAAAGCCTGACATTGGAAGCAGGAGAAGCCGGTTCGAATCAGATCTAAGCCATATGTAGAACGTGTCCTCTTTTTTTCTCCTATCGAGAGAAGCATGCTGCATAGATCCAGGTTAGGAAATGGGTAGGGAAAGCTCGGTGGCCCGGTGGCGGATGGTCCACACCCGCTTTAGGACCTCTGAAATTCCCTTTGGAGGATAGGTCCGGCGGCGGACAAAAAATTGGGATTTGGGGCCCAAAACCTAGGTTCAGGGCGGACAAAAATGTGCTCCCGAGAGCCCACAGCCTAGGTCCTGGGCGGACAAAAATCGCGGGTGAGCCGAGGTCTAGGATTTTTTTTGGGGGCCACGAAATGCTCAGATCTGCTGATTTTCCCTGAAACATAGCCTGACGGCCTGAATCTGTGCGAAAGAGCTCGAACTAAGGGCCGGCGAGAGGAAAAATCAGATTTGGACGTCACCGGAGCCAGAAATTACCCGTTTGGGCCGCTGATGGGATTAATGGCTAGGTCCCGGGCGGACAAAATCTGGCCAATCCGCGCCAAAATCCTGGCGGACAAGAATCGGCCGATTGGTCGGATTCGGGACCTATCCTCCAAAGGGAATTTCAGAGGTCCTCCCGCTTTCTGTATGACCGTATTATAACCTTGAAACATGTGATCAACGGGCGGAGCCTGTTCGAATCAGGCCCGAGCCACCGTGTCGAAGGTATCCTTTTTTCCTCCTATTGAGAAATGGTGCTGCGTAAATTTAAGCTAAGAGCAGGGAAAGGAAGGCTCGGTGGTGGATGGTCCACACCTGCTTTCCATAGGCGACGAGTGACATGAGATTAAGTCAGCAGAAGGAGTCTGTTCGAATCAGGCCCGAGCCATGGACAGACTCGTTCAAAAGTTTTTATCTCTTGACTCAAGAAAGGATAAATTCAGGTTAAGGGATGGGTACGTAAGGCTCGGTGGTGGGTGGTCCATACTTGCTTTCTGTGCTGTCTAGCGTGTGAACCTTTGAAGCAGGAGTCTGTTCGAATCTGGCCCGAGCCATCACAGTGTTGGCATTTTTCATATCTTTGATACAATGAGAAAGCTGTGGTAAATTGAAGGTAAGATGAAGGAACGGAAGGCTCGGGGGTGGATGGTCCACAGCCGCATATCATCCGTCGAAAATAGATGTTGCATGCAGGAGTCTGTTCGAATCAGGCCCGAGCCATGGGACAGGTTACCGGAGCTTTTATCTCTGGAGTCAAGGAAGTCCGGATGAATGCAGGCTAGTATAAGGGTAAGGAAGGCTCGGTGGTGGATGGTCCTTACTTGCTTTCTGTGGTACGTGTGAAGCTTTTGAAGCAGGAGGAGTCTGTTCGAATCAGGCCCAAGCCATAACAGTGTTGGAATTTTTTATTCGCGATACATGGGCAATGATAAAGCTGTTATAAATCCAGGTCAAGAAGAGAGTCGGGAAAGGCTATGGTCCACACCTGATTTCCATACGTAGCAAGAGGAGTCCGTTTGAATCAGGCCCGGGCCATGCACAGTCTTGACATTTTTTTATCTGCGACGCATGGACAATGAGAGAACTGTGGCCAGTGGTAAATTCGGGTTACGACGAAGGAGCGGAAGGCTCGGTGGTGAATGGTCCACACCTGTGTATCATGGAATAAAACGAGTGCTTGCATGCAGGAGACGCCTGTTCGATCCAGGCCCGAGCCATGCGTACATCCACCAAGGATTTTTGTGGAGTTAGTCAGACATCTTTAGGTAATCTAATTCAACCGGGGCTTGGAGGCTCTTTAGCGCGCTATTGGTCGAAGGTCGAAGATTTGCCGGCAAGAAGCCTAACCAAATGTGTATCTCGGGCTCAAAAGCTAGTTTCTCGAGGAGATACAAATGTTGTCACTAATTGGGATCTCCCTGGACCTAAATATCCTGTAAATCAGTAGAACTTCTCGCCTTACTTGTCCATAGGGATCCCCACCGTACAGTATACGGTTACGGCCGTAAATGTGGTCCAACCGGCCGTAACCGTCACCGTAAAGAGCTCTCAAAGGCTCTTACGGTTACGGTAGGTCAGTTTTACGGTCCGTCACCGTAATTACGGCCGTAAATCGGCAAACAAATTCGGCTAAGGTCTGGTGGCTCTTAATCGGACAGCTAAGACGGAAGGTTTAGATACAAGTTGCTTCAGCCATGTGTAGGTATGTTTTGGCCCATTGGGAGACACTGTGTGGCCAATTTTGAGGCCCAGGTCAGTTCAACCGATGACTCAACCGACCATCCATGCGGTGTCTGAGCCCCCTCTTGCTGAAAATTACCTGGTCTAATAGTCTCCACAGTCGCTACCACTTTACCATAGATTTTCCCACAGAGAGAGACGGACATTCTGTCCTCATCCTCCTTCAGAATCACAAAATTTGGGTGCTGCATTTACGGCCGTAAAGTTACCGTATACGGCCGTATTCTTACGGTTTTTTACGGGTTACGGCCGGTGAAGACCGTAACCGTAAAATGTCTCCCAGGGGGCCTTACGGGACGGATACGGTGACCGTCAGACCGTAACCGTACACCGTAATTACGGTTACGGTGGGGATCCCTACTTGTCCACCCAACACCGCACTTGTCAGCCGTGCCACACCGACAGCTGGGATTTTCTTGCGCAAACAGAGTCCGAGGACGCGAAATTCAAAATTTCCGTCAGCGTCGGGGTCGGTATGAGAGGATAATCAAATGATAATCGCGCGAGGTTGTGTGAAGTTGAACGTTGATTCTCGGTTGAACGGTGGCGGTGGCGCCAAGGATGCCGTACAACAGACCCAAATACAGCCCTGGACCCTCCCCCATGGCGCGCGTCAAGGCCCGGGCCGCGCGCGGTATTCGCGGGCGTGGGCAGCGTGCCGTGTCAGGTAGGGCTACAGCAAGCTTATGGAGCAAGAAGACGCGTCAAGAGGGAGTCGATCGGTGACAGGGAATCCAGAAATGGATAATTCATTATTATAATAGTTGGTGCTCGCCTGGGTTACTCGCTCACCAGCATGACTTTTGCCGTCCTGCGCGCTCTGCACGCCATCCTCGGCGATGCCCTCGCCGACATTGAGCGTGTCTACGCGCTGGAGGACACGACGACGACGACCCCGAGCTCGCTGTCTGCCACGACGACGAAGACCCACAGCAGAGCGCCCTCCCTCGCCTACGCCAGCCCCCCCGCCATCTCCCTCCTTTGCTTCCTCCCCGCCCCTCGACTTCCCCTCCCTCGACGCGCCCTGCGACCCCGTGTCCCCCAGCGAGCGGCTCACCGCGCACCCCGCCGTCATCGCCGCCATCAGCTGCATCGTCGCCGCCGCGGGCCAGATGGCCGCGACCGTCCAGGTCCCGTTCCTCTCCCTCTGCGACGCGAGCATGGGCTACCATCTCCCGAGCTGCCTTCGCCTCCTCGAGGCCGCACACGTCCCCGAGCTCCTGCGCGCTGGGCCCCTCCACGTCCGCGAGATCGCTGCCCGCACGGGCGTCGAGCAGGCGAAGCTCGGTATGTTTCTCTTTGTTTCCACTGCACTTTGGGTTAATGGCGTACGCGCAGCACACATCCTGCGCTTGCTCGCGACGCACCACCTCCTGCGCGAGGCCGCGCCGGACGACTTTGCCGTCAACCGCATCAGCTCCCTCATCGACACCGGAAAGCCCATCCACGAGCTCCTCGCCAAGTGGGTGTCTTTCGTTCTTTCCTGTTCTCTCTTCTCCTTCGTCGTTCTTCTCTCCTTTCTTCCTGCTCCCTTTTTTTCTTCCTACTCGCATCATCCTCCCATCATTTCCTACCATCCGCTTTTTTTCATTTCCCCAGTCCCCATCCCATCCGCCTCCCACCCACCTCCCAACGCCACATCCCCCATCCCATCACCCGCGCTGTGACACGCCCTCGCTCCCGCGGCACCCCCCCGCTTCCATTACGCACACCCTTCCCACCGTTTCTGCCTCCTGCCTCTTCGGGCGCCTTTCCTGCTTGTCTCTGCCTCCCTCGGCTTCTCCAAACTGCTTCTTCGACGCTTGGCATACTTCTTTCGCCACCTGCGATGCTTCTGCGAGCGCGCTCGCGACTTCCCTTGACGCGTTCGGGCTTCTCCCGACTCCCGATGCGCGTGCCTCGGCTCCCGCTTTACGCTTGTCTTTATTCGATTTCCTTTTTATTTATTTCTCCTGCTCTTTCGTGGCGCTTTCCTATTCCTCTTCCGATATCCTATTCCCTTCGCCCTAATTTATTCCCTTCCTCCTTACCGAACGAAACAACCTGATGCTGACGCCCCACAGTCCGGAACGCAAGTACGACGAGAAGAGCGGCGTCGCGGCATTTGTCGGGCTTTGGTGGGTCTCTCCTTTCTCCGTTGTCTATATTTCTCTTTTCTGCTTTCCTTTCGCGTTCCTGCATTCCCTGTTCTTCTTGCGTTCCGGCGTTGTTGCATGTCGGGCTTGCGGGGCGCGGGTGCAGGGGAGTGCACGCCCCCGGGGCCTGGGCGTCTTTTGGGGCGCATATATCCTGCTTTTGGGCAGAGATGCGTTTCGGGGGGTGTATACGTACTTTTGGGCGCATATATTTTACTTGTGAGGCGCATATACGTTGCTTTCGGCGCATATACCCTGCTTTGGCTCGCACACCGTTCCCCGCGGCAGTATATTCATTTTTGTCTGCCTTTGCGCGCGCGCGCGTCCTTGCTACGCTCTGCCGGCGCGGGGGCGGCCGTCTGGATGATGCTGGCGCTTGAGGCATACACCCGCCTTCCCTGCGTCACATTTTCTGCCCTCGTTCCTACTCCCGACCCTTGCTTACGCTCCTCTGCGCAACCGCGACGAGCTGTACAAGTCGAGCGCGTAGCTGACCGAGGCTGTGAGGCTCGCTAACTTCGGTTAACTGTACCTAAGATCAGTGGGTTTAATACTGGCGGTGAAAGCGTAGTGCATATGAGTGGTTCCGGACTCATCGACTAACTGATAAACGGATGTACTAACTGTTCTTCGAAATCGTTTTGAGCTCCTTGTATTACATTACCGGAGTCAACGTTTTATCCTCGAGGCCGTTTCAAATTTCCAAAGAGAATAATGGCGGACCACTTCCTGCGAGCCATCGCAGGCTGGTTGAATGCCCAACACGTGCTGCTCGGCTCTTTCATTTCGAGTGTCAGCAAAGTGCCAGTAGAATCGTGTTGGACAAAGTTCAAGGGACCATAAATTGCCATCGGACGGTTGGATGATCGCATAGGACGGCAGTTAATTGAGGGTATACACGTCCACGTAGCTTTATTAATCGGCTGGTTACGGGTCGCGAGAATACGCGCGGACGGAGTCGATGGAACCGTGGGATGGAGGTGCAGAACTCGGAGACCTTTAGGCGTTGAAAATCACCCAAGGCAGGATATTATCAAGTGCTTCGTTTTGAAATCCACCGGGTCTGGCCCGGGGGAGCGCTCTTGACTGACACTGCATAAGTTGGGAAACTGCCGACAGTAACGGTGCCTCGTATTACCTCACGGAGCGGGCGGTTCCGCTAGTTGATCGGTGATTGATTTGGATCACAAATTGACTCAACGAAGATTCAACCTTCGCACGTTCGGCAGGCCTGGCCTTCCTTTCGACTTAAATCGTAAACACGACCATTTCTCATGCACATACCAATGCTGACGCCAAATTCCCAAGCCGAAAAGGCTCAAATTTATGCGGTGGTAAAATGATAGATGTTTTTATTGTACAGCCTTCTTCACCTTTCGCAACTCGGTTCCGGCGATGGCGTGGCGTGACTGGGTGAGTAATTCCCTGAGTAAGCTGCAAGAAGCACGCTAAGATCCACCAAGATGGCGTTATCCAAGCCTCATAAAGTCTGCGGCGGGCTGGGTCCGTATTCTTCAGCTCCCATGTCCACAGTCACCACTGCCTCCCTCAATTTCTTTGTCCCTCCCAAGGATGGGTCTCGGGCATATTCTAACACCAGCGCGGTAACTGGAGTGCCGTACAAAAACTATACCATGGAGGCCCACGACGTCGAGATCCAAAATCTTCGAGGGAACGAGTCCGCTGCGACGCTGGACACGACCGGGTTCCAGATATATAAACACCCTGCAAAACACACCGCTTTCACGAGTGACGCCGAGATCGAGAAGGAGTATTATCCCGAGAGCATTGAGCTCATAAAGCGCTTGACGGGGGCGAGTCGGGTCGTTTTATTTGATCACAGTTCGTCGTGGACTTGTATCGACCGTTCCTCCTGTTGACTGGAGTCCCTAGCCGTTCGACGCCGCCGCCCAGGCGAGATTGACAATGCCCCGGACAAACGTCAGCCCGCTTCACAGACTCACATTGACCAGACGAACACGTCCGCTGTTGCCCGAGTTCATCGCCACCTGCCTGCCGAGGAGGTTCCCGAGCTTCTGAAGCATCGCTTTCAAATCATTAACTTGTGGCGCCCGATTTCCCACCCGGCGGACGACTGGCCACTGGCGTTGTGCGATTTCAGGACCGTCGACACAGTAAACGACATCCTACCCGTTGCACTTGTCTACCCGGATCATGAAGGCGAGGCGGCCGGTGTGAAATACAACCCAACTCAGAAATGGACGTATTTCTCAGGAGTCGCGCCCGACGAGCTCATTCTGATCAAGTGGTTGGTTTTTCTCTGGATAATATTTCAGACGCCGGGTTAATTGATTTATCCTAGTTTTGACTCGCTCCAGGACGGTAGTCTCGCACTCTATACTCCCCACACCGCGTTCAAAGACCCGGCCACGCCGGAAGGAGCTCCGCCCCGCGAGTCCATTGAGCTTCGCGCACTGGTATTCTATGATTAGAACAAAGATATCCTGTGACGACAAGTAGATTACACTTGCGTACCGATTTTTCCTCGTTCGTTGAAAGATTATTGGGCACAGTATCCCCCACTGGCGGTGAACTATCTGTCTTTTGAAAATTACCCTCCATGGAACACGTTGGCGGCAGCAGAGTGAATGAAAGCAAGACCAAGCAAGAAATCTTGTGCGCTCTCATTTTGAGTTGCAGAGGGACATTTCGACCGCCATACATGTTTTGAATTGAACGAAGTTCAACCACAGGTTCAACGATGCACCTGACTTCGGGATTCCCCGCCGGAAACTGCCGGCTGTTTGAAATTTCCGGCTCTGCTAACCGATCGCGAGAAGGCTCGCGCCGCATGTAGAGGGATGTCCCTTCAACCTGCACCGGTGCACCGATAAGTATCGAAGAAGACCTGTTACATCCAGAACTCGGAACGGTCGTCCCGGCTCGGAACGGGTATTAGTTGACTTTACGTGCAAAACTCCGAGATGCTTTCTTCGCGCTCGTGCTGCTTGCTTTCTGTGTGCGTCGGAGAGAGTTCAGGCAGGAGCAACCTGTTCGAATCAGGCCCGAGCCATGGGCCGACTCGAGAGCTTTCTTTTATCTCTGGCATCAAGAAAGTGTGGACAAACCCAGGTCAAGAACAGAGTAGGGAAAGGCTCAGTGGTGGATGGTCCACACCTGCTTTCCATGCAAAGCGATTGGACAATTAAGTCAGCAGGAGGAGCCGGTTCGAATCAGGCCTGAGCCATGATGTGTCATGCCAGTCCTTTTTCTCTCTGTTTCGTTGAAGCCTCGGAAAATAAAGCTGCATAAATCGGGGCACGGACAAAATCGGAAAGGCTCGGTGGTGGATGGCCACACCTGTCCACCATGAACTGGGAAAGCAGGAAGAGTCTGTTCAATTCAGGCCCGCGCCATAATGATGCCTGTGTCGGCCTTTTTTATCCGTGATACAATGAGAAAAGTTGTGGTAAAGTGAAGCTAAGATGAGGGAAGGGAAGGCTCGGTGGTGGATGGTCCCACACCTGCTTTCTGTAAGCTCTCGAAATGATCTACAGGAGGAACCTGTTCGAATCAGACCCGAGCCCTGCAGTATAGAATGTGTCCTTTTCCTCCTATCGAGAAATGTGTGCCGTGTAAATTTAGGCTGAGGAGAGGAAACGCAAGGCTCGGTGGTGGATGGTCCACACCCGCTTTCTGTATGACGGCATTATAACCTTGAAACATCTGATCAGCGGGAGGAGCCTGTTCAAATCAGACCCGAGCCATAACGATGTCGGTTTTTTAAAATCTGTTATACCCTGAGAAAGCTGTGGTGAATTGAAGGTAAGATGAGGGAACGGGAGGCTCGGTGGTGGATGGTCCATCCTTGTGTATCACTGCGTCGGAGGGAGGTGTTACATGCGGGAGAAGCCTTTAGTCTGTTCGAATGATGCCTAAGCCATAGTGGGAATGAAAAGAGTATTTTATTGTCTTGAATCATAGGAAGCCCGGCTAAATGCAGGTTTGGGCCGGAGGAAGGAAGGCCTCGGTGTTGGATAGTCCACACCTGCGTATCATGCGTCGAAAATAGATGTTGCATGCAGGAGGAGTCTGTTCGAATCAAGCTTTTATCTCTGGCATCAAGAAAGTGCGGACAAATTCAGTTCAAGGGACTGGTAAGGAAGGTTCGGTGGTGGATGGCCCATACTTGCTTTCTGTGGAGTCTTAGTATGTGCACCTTTGAAGCAGGAGGAGTCTGTTCGAATCAGGCCCGAGCCATCACAGTGTCGGCATTTTTTTATCTACGACACATGTACAATAGGAAAGCTGTGTATATTCAGCCTACGACGAAGGAAGGGAAGGCTCGGTGGTGGATGGTTCATACTTGCTTTCTGTGGTGTCTCGAGTGAAGTCTTGAAGCAGGAGGAGTCTGTTCGAATCAGGCCCGAGCTATAGCAACATCGGCATTTTTTATCTGCGACACATGTAAAATGAGAAGGTTGTGGTGAATTCAGGTTACGAGGGAGGAGCGGAGGGCTCGGTGGTGAATGGTCCACACCAGCGTATCATGAGGGGCAGCCGAGGAGGATGCATGCAGGGGATGCCTGTTCGATCCGGGCCCGAGCCATACGTCCTTGAAATCCAACAGGGTTTTTTTTTGAAGTAGTCAGATATGTTCAGGTCATGTAAATTGACCCACGTTGACCAGACGAACACGTCCGCTGTTGCCCAAGTTCACCGCCATCTCCCTGCTGAGGAGATTCCCGAGCTTCTGAAGCATCGCTTTCAAATCATTAACTTGTGGCGCCCGATTTCTCACCCGGCGGACTAGCCACTGGCATTGTGTGACTTCAGGACCGACGACCCATCCTACCCGTTGCACTTGTCTACCCGGATCACGAAGGCGAAGCGGCCGGTGTGAAATACAACCCAACTCAGAAATGGACCTATTTCTCAGGAGTCGCGCCCGGCGAGCTCATTCTGATTAAATGGTTGGTTTTTCTCTGGATAATATTCCAGACGTCGGGTTAATTGATTTAGCCTAGTTTTGACTCGCCCCACGACGGGAGTGTCGCACTCTGTACTCCCCACACCGCATTCAAAGACCCGGCCACGCCGGAAGGAGCCCCGCCCCGCGAGTCCATTGAGCTTCGCGCGCTGGTATTCTATGATTAGAGCAAAGATATCCTGTGACGACAAGTAGATTACACTTGCGTACCGACTTTTTCCTCGTTCGTTGAAAGATTATTGGGCACAGTATCCCCCACTGGCGGTGAACTATCTGTTTTTTGAAAATTGCCCTCCATGGAACACGTTGTCGAGAGTAGAGTGAATGAAACCAAGCTCAAGCAAGCCATTTTGTGCGCTCTCACTTTGAGTTGCAGAGGGAGTTCTGAATTGAACGAAGTTCAACCCAAGTTCAACCACAGGTTCAACGATGCACATGACTTCGGGATCACCCGCCGGGAACTGCCGGCTGTTTGAAATGTCCGGCTCTGCTAACCGGCCGCGACTCGGAGTCTCGGACTCGCGCCAGTTGTCTCCCAGGTATGTGGAGGGATGTCCTTTCAACCTGCACCGATAAGTATCGAAACGAAATTTGATATATCTAGAACAAACTCGGAACCAACTCGGAACGGGTGTTAGTCAGTGTTAGTTGGCTTTTACGTGCTCCGATTTGCTTTAGGCTTCGAGCCCGTGTTACTCACCTTCACGACGCATCACGCACGCCCTCTAATTCTTTGTCTTCTACTTTCATCATCGATATCTTTCCTGCTCCATGGCCGCCAGTTCTTCGTTTAACGATAGCCTTCCGTCCCACCCCTATCTACGCACATCATCTCTCTTCATCGGCCACCTACCGGGTCATGTCTCGGAAGAGAATATCAAACAAATATTCGATGACTCCCATCCTCAAGCAACCGTGAGTTTCAACCGCAGCAAGAATCGCCGCAAGCGGGGCGCGCTTCGGCCCCGAGTCGACTTTGCGGACCTTAACTCAGGCACAGCGGTTCTCGCGTCTTCTGAAAATAGTGCTGATGTACTTTTTACAGCTGAAAAGGCGCTTGCAATCTTGCATCTCCGGCCAATACCCAACAGCGAGCCCCCGGTCGTCCTCGAATTCACCACTTCAGCCAACCTCAAACCCCTCGAAGTGCCCGACCCCTCGGTATCGCCCAGATTGATTAAAATATTACCAGCCGGATGTACGGAGACGACCCTCTACGACTTTCTCAGGCGTTACGGACCACTGTACTCTGTGCGCATAGATCCCGTCGCCGGCGGCCTGGTGCAGTTCTGGGACGAGAACCAAGCCCGAGACGCCGAAATCTGCCTTCTTGTCGCGCAGCCCAAACTGGTGCTCAAAGCATACGACCCCTGCTCTCTGTTCTGTTGCGTAAGCTGGACAAGATATGCCAGAAGACAACCATCGTAAACTTTTCACAGAATATTAGTTTTGATCTCAATGCTGCCACGCTGCGGACTCATTTTGCCGAGGTAAGCAATCTCGTCGGTATTAAAATTCGGGGCTCATACACATTAGTTCGGTGCGATAACAAGGTCCCAAATTGTCCAATACGTCCTCCTGCTAGGCGTTAAATAACATAAATTCCTTCCAGCACCGAGATCTTCACCAATCCCCAAACTGGAAAAAGTCGCGGGTTCGGCTTCGTTACATTCTTGCTTGCATCTGAAGGTAAGCAGAACTCGGGTGCAGGAGACTGCAGTGGCTGATTTATGCATCTCATGTAGCCTCTACGGCCATGAAAGCGATGAATGGCGCCGAAATACAATGGAGAACACTCTCCGTGACGTACCGAGTGCTCAAACAACGGAGTGGAAGCCCTGAACCGCACCGGCGTGATATTCCCGAGGAGGCGAAGCCACCGACACTGCCGTCGGAACCCGCCCCACAGAAGGCTCCCGTCGAAACCCACCCCAAAACGAGCAACGGGACGGCCAGCGAGCCCGTCAAGCCCGATATCTCCCACGAGTTCAAAAGCCTGAAGGTCCTCTATGCCGAAGAGGTGAAAGAGCGGACAGCGGTGCAGGCCGAGAACGCGCGCTTGCGAGAAGAGTTGGAGAGCGTGCAACGCGCGTTGGAGATGGCGGAGAGTAGGCTGAAGATCCTGCAGCTCGAGTCGGACCGCCCGCTCTGGGAAAAGGCGAAGAAACAGCGCGAGGAGAACGAGAAGGCGGAGCGCGCAAAGGAAGAGGAGCGGCGTCGCGCAGCGGAGATCGAGGAGTCGCGCCGGAAGATGCGGGAGTTCCAAGAGCTGGAGAGGGAGCGCAAACGCGCTGCGGCGGAGGCCGAGCGGGCTGAGCGCCTGCGGCGCGAGGCGGAGGAGAAGGCGCGCCTAGAGAAGGAGGAGCGCGAGCGCAAGGCGCGCGAGAAGATGGAGCGCGAGCGCAAGGCGAAGGAGGCGCGCGAAAAACTCGAGCGCGAGAAGCGCTGGACGACCGCGACGAAAGCGGAGGAAGCGCGGTGCACAAAGCGGGACGAGCAACTGTGGGCCGCCGGTGCGTGGACGCCTGTCCGCGCGCTGGAGCGCCTGCGGCTCCAGATGGACGAGTTCGACAGGATAAAATTCTCCGAGGCGCAGCCGCTGACGTTCCGCGTCATCCCGTGGCCCGTCCTCACCGACCCGCTTGACTTGGACGTGGAGCAGATTGACTGGGACGCGGTCGAGGCGTTCTTTGCACGCGCCAAGGCGCAGATGGCCGCGAACGTCGCAGAGTACAATGGCCTTGTCGAACGGGTGCATCGAATGTTCCACCCGGATAAATGGAAGGCACGCGGCGTGCTCATCACGGTGATGGACGAGGAGTTGAAGGGTTCGTTGGAGACGGCGGGGAACGTTGTCGCGCAAGCCATGACACCGCTGTGGAGAAAGTCAAAGGGATATACTTGATTTACATAAACCAGTCGCGAATACACAATCATTGACGCCAGAGACGCTGTCTGTGGGCGCGCTCGCCGGAACATCTTGACGTGCACCGAGCCTGCTGGCGCTCGAGGTGTCCTCGGACCAATGTCTCGAACATCAATTTGTCTGACCACGTCAGCGAAAAGCTTAAACACCTTCGTGAACAATAATATTAACGTCCGACAGCCAGCGCTCACCTCGAATCATGCAAGGCGGGTCTCTTCGCTTCCCGCCCCACACGATAAGAATGATCTATAATGAACACTGCCAGATACAAATAACTCAAATACACAACCCCGAGCGCACATACACATCTATCAACTACACGAGAAAGACCATTGCAATTCATTTAGCACAAGAAAGAGAGAATATGCACACCCAGAGAAAAGGCAAAGGAAAGAGATGAGTCCGAAGTAAAAGTTTCTAAGGATCCGGAGAAGGCGAACGCGGGATCCCGCGCTCAATCCGTGCCGCCGCGGCCAGCACCGAGCGCGCGGAGAGCAGAGTCGGCGACGCGCGCGCAGACGCGATCTCATCGTCCGCGCTCTCGCTGTCCCCATCCGCGTCGTCCCGCCGGCGCCGGCGCCCAAAGTCCAGCGCGCCCCCGCTCACGCGCCCGTTCAGGAGGAGACTCCCCATGCCCATGCCCATCGCGCTGCCGCCCCCGGCGCGCGCCATCGCGGGGTGGATAATACTCCCCGAGCGCTTGCGCAGCTCCATCTGCGGGAGCTGCAGCTGCGTGTGCGATGCGCGGCGCGCGAGGGCCGGGATGCGCGAAGGCACGGGCGACGGCGGGCTCGGCTGCTGGTGATGGTACTGATGCTGATGCTGCTTCAGCACGGGCGACGACGGGACGTGGCGCAGGGTCTGCGCGGGCTGGTGCGGCGGGACGGGCGGCGGCGTCAGCGCTTGATGTCCGGGCTGCGAGAGGTGCGCGTACGACGAGCGGCGGCTGAGCGGGTGGCGGGGCGACATGGGCGAGGGTGGGGCCGGCGGCCGCGGGATCGGCGCCTGGGACTGGGACTGCGACCGGAAGAGCGGCGCCTGCGACATGCGGCGCGTGGTGGGCGAGGACTGCAACTGCGGAAGCGCCGGGCGCGGGGACGTGTGTGGAGGACGTGGGGAGGTGAGCGGGCGGTACAGCGACGGCGAGGGTGATGCGGGCGGAGGCACGACCGACAGCGGCGACGGCTTCTTCTTCCTCACCGGCGGTACCGTCAGCACCGCCGCCTGCCTCAACAGCGGGGCCGCTGGCGGCGCGCGCGAGCCCGAGGCAAATGGTCGCCGCCCCACGCCCACGCTTCCCCCGAACCGTGCACGCGCCTCGGCGACGGACGGCAGGTCGACGCGCGACCCGAACGTCGGCGTCCCGCACCGGCTGCTCGCGCGTTCGACCATCTCCATCTCCCTCTCCCCGCCGTCCCCGCGCGCGCCCGCGCCGACCTCGAAGAACGCGGAGCCGCTCCCCGCGCGCGCGCGGCGCTGCGGCGGGACGGGCACGACAGCGGGCACGGCGACGATGTGCCCGAAGAGCGAGCCCGGCGCCTTGGTGACGCGCACGACCTTCCACCCCGCTGACAGCGCGAGCGCGACCGTCTCGCGCAGCGTGCGCTCGCGCCCGTTGAATGTCGCTTGCATCTGGTCATCCACACTCGTCAGCCGTGCTTTCCGAAGAAACTGACGAGAACGCACAGTAAGG